TCATAAGTTTCTTTGCAACATCTTGTAATGCAAAATCACATACTCCTCTTTCATGCTTTGGAGTCAGTTCCTAATATTATTCTCACTCTGCTAGAAATGTAGCCCTGAGAATAATGGTGGTCTCTGCTGCATAGGAAAAATGTTAAACTCAGCCACAAAATAAAAGGAATTCTAAGACAGAGGAAAATCTTTCCCTTTGCTTTCTTCTTAGTATCCCCAAGTGAATTAATGAACATATTGAGCCTACTAAGTTATACCTTCCCCCTGAAGTGCTGAGAAGAGAAGCTACAAACACTTTAGATCATTCTTCAGATAAGACAAGCATGAGAAAGATTCTGAACTGCGATGGAATGAAATCATTAAGTAATTCCCCTCAGACTATCAGAAAGCAGATAAAAAATCCCCTGAATTTGAATATTAATTTTCCAATATGGCTAGGTTTATAGACCTACAGATCTAAATGGGTTATGGTCATCTTAGAAATAATCCTACCATTTTCTGAGAGCGTTTATTGCTCAGCATGATGTGTCATCAATGCAAAAACATGCCCTTTACTGTTAAGTTTTCCTCAATGATGGATCCTCACCTCAGCCTGACCTTTGGCTATGTTTAACCCATAGAGGGCAGTGACATGCAATTAATAATAACTTTTCAGAGCCTTAAATGAAAACACCTTTTGGTTTTGGTGGTCTTGGTCTGTATTTTTGGGAAGAATTGAAAATTATTTGAAGTGTTCTGTCATTAACATTGGACTTTCAGAATTTCTCAGGTTGAGTTTAGGGAATTATAAGGTACAGACATACAAAATATGTTGTAAAAATTATGTTCTGAGAAACTTTCCAAAATTTTTTTCCAGAGGTATTGCTTGGTAGGAGTCTGCACTAATAAATAGTGGACCACATGCTGGGAATAAATAAGTCCAAACTAGAAATACAGATGCTAAACCAGGAGGTGTTCTTCTCTCGTACCCTGTTTTATAGACCATTCTTTATAGAATGGTCTGCTCATTTTATAAATCTTATAGGTATGACCCACAAACAATCCTCTTTAACTCTTTCTGTCCACATCATGCCTACATGCAATGAGACTCCTGTAAGTTAACTGGTAAATGAGATTTCCAACCTGAGTGACAGCCTCCACACATACAGACAGCACTGACAGCATCCACCAAACCCACAGATCTTGGCAATCTTTTGTCAGCCTGTTGGAACATAGAGTTTGGCTGTGCCTTTTTCCTCCAATCAGCCCAGGTTGAAGAGCAAACTAGACAGTCAGTATGAGCAGGAGTCAGTAGCAGAATAGCCTCTTAGAAAGAAAGGCGATACTGTGGCCTCCAGCTACGCTGAGACGCATTTCCGCTTGTTATTTTACTTCTGTCTCCTTTACCTTAATATATGTATATGACAGTGAAAAAGATTGATGGTTTTCTGAATGCAATAGGTAGGTCAAAGCACAGACTAATTTTTCTGCTGCCTCAGGACATATTTGTGTTTGTTTTTGAAGCAAACAGATTCCAAAGATATGAAAGAAATGCCAAAGCACAACACAGATTAAATGGAAAATGCAGAAAACAAAACAGTAATTCATGAAATGGAATCCACAAAGTTTACAAGCACTGAGCCTCCCATGACAAGGATGTATCATGAAGAGAGGTATAGCTTACACCCTTGAGCCAAGCCAGCTTCACTGTCTGGGCCTGGAGAGAGGAGGAGAGCCAAGCTTCCTGCTTGCTCTCTCTTTCCCACATCTCCTTGGATGTTTCACACAGTGTGTAGGGGTCATGTCTTTGAAGGGGCTTTGCACTCTGGATTGGAACAGCCTTCATGTAGTTATGCAGCAGATGAGGATGCTTTTCATTTTGGTATGTAGAGCTGTAGCTGAGCAAGTGAAAAATCAGCTTTTCATGCTTTATGAAGTGCTGCTGTTGTATAGGAACTCCTACTGTGGAACCTAGACAGGAAGAGAAATGTCTCTTTTGTGCTTTATTTGTGTACTCATATTCAAGAATTTGTGAAGTGCATGGGGACTGCCATAAATTTTCTATCTGGAAAAAATTCTTCCTAACAAAAAGTATTTCAGTGTCTCACTGTATAAAACAAATGCCCCAGGGCCTGTAATTGCGTAAAGATTTGATACTTTATGGCTATGATACCATATACAAATTGACTGCTGCAACATTTTTATGTAGTTATTTCTAAAGAAATATGCGATCAGTATTCCTTGTTACTTGCAGCATCCTTCACCCAGAAACTGATGTGATAAACATAACACAAGTCTGAACAGAATGTCACGTAATAAAATGTAATGTGAAATCAATCAAAATTTAGCTAACTGCACACATGAGGCCCATACTTTGGTTAACTGTGCAACACTTAACATTTCCAGATTTTACATAAATATTTATATCTCTGTATTTTAAAAAGCTCCACTAACTTCCATACATCCAAACTTAAATACAGGTAATTTTTTTATAGATTAGGGGCTTAATGCTTGAAAAGATACAAGTTTTGAATTTTTCTATCTTGCTTAAAGGTATGAAAGTAAAGAAAGTCTGTTATCATTTAGTATTATTATTATTATACATTTCATTTTAAGTTTCTTAAATTCACCACTAATACACAGCACTGAGCTACTTCTGTAAAATTGATCAGTAATTTATATTCCAAATAATTGTCAGGTGCAGACAGAAGAGGCTCTAGATACAACAAATGGATTAAACGTTTAAAAGTGCTTCTTTACTAAGTTTTGGTTTTGTATTCTGTGTTGGAGACCTTAAGACCAAATGTAACTCATCATAACCACCCATTTTATTCGTGTCATGAAAAAGTGGAAGATTTTTGCAAACTTAACAAATTACCTCAATAATAACTAATACTCTTTTGGAGGTTATTAAAAATATCAGAAGCAATGGTATATGTATATTGCTGAGTTATTGGAATAAGTAGGTTAAATTGTTGAATACATATTTGAGGGACAGGAATAATAGGAGTAACATTAAAATAGATTTGCCACATTGTTTTACCACTGTTAAAATCAGCTTCAATTACTATATCTACTCCTTTTAAGTACAGTGTTAATATAGAGTCTTCTAAGCTGTACTTCTATGTTGAAATGATTGTGGAAGTTTTAGAAGAGGTCTTATGGTCATTCTGATTCCACTCCCCCTTAATTGCTTCTTCAATGGAATAGGCTCCCTGGGGAAGTGGTCAAAGCAGAAAGCCTGTCTGCATTCAAGGAGTATCTGGATGATTCTCTTAGTCATGGTGTAGCTTTAGGTAGTTCCGCAAGAAGCAAGGATTTGGATTTGATGATTGTCATGGGTCCCTTTCAACTTGACATAATCTATGATACTATGATTCTATTAAAAAAATGGACCTCTGATGTCATGGCACATAGAATCAGGAGTCTCACTGAGAGAAATACACTGAGAAAATGAGAAAATAAAGCAATTGTCATCAACTCTGGAATTAGTGGTGCAAAGCACCAGTGAGATCCTGTTATATTATTTTCACTTTAATGGACTGTGTCATTGGCCTTAAACCATGGAGACATAACTGAAGAAGCAATACCCTTAGTACTTGTGGTGCTCAGACATCATGACTTATTAAAGGGGTGCTATTACCACTGGTCCAACATCATTAGTTATGTGAAGAAATAGTTATTCAGCTGGATATTTATGACTTTACATAGTTAAGTATGCATTCCATACGCAGTTATAGAAACTCTTCCATGTGTTTTTTTTCTACCTAGCATTTTTAAGTTGTCATTGTTTTCAAAAATTGTTTTACGGTTAATTATGATATTCCAGAACACCCTTGCCAAGCCACACTTCAAGTATGTCTATGCTTTGGTAGGTCTGAGAACCTCCTTCTAAAAGATATCAACAATTCTATGAGTTCCCTGATTCAGAAACAACTAATGTAATATTTTTATGCATGCTTGTCTGAACTTTCTTATTCAGAATACAATATCTAAAGGACCAAGATTCATTTTCTCATCATAAATATGCATAAGACAATCTTATTAACATAAATCTGATCTAACAGGTTCACCATGGATAAAGAAAGGTAATTAATTTTCCTCTTTGCTTATTTTACTGCTGTCTCTTTTTTCCCTAGATTTTACTTGTTCGTGTACTACTGTCTTAGAATCTTTGCTATGCATTGTATTTAGCTGTTTGATGCACCACACAGTGCTTTCTCAACCCTAGCTGGAGTGCTACTGGCTTTTGATAAGAAAAGAGTAGAAAAAAATTTTCTTATTTACAGTTTGAATGATTATTCACACAGTCATGAAGAAAAACGAATTTAGACACATACAGAACTTTTCCAAATATTTACTTTTGATGTTGTCATATATATGTGTAATCCCTTCACAGCAGGTGAAATTCGTTCATCTGCATTCTAATATTACGATTAAAAAATGAAACCTTGTTTGCTGCTGACTTGCCAGTTAGGTAATGTGATAGGACATTTCAAGAAAAGCTTTAAAATATATTAGCATACTTGAAAGGCAGAATGCTCTTATTTACTTTCAAATAAACTATACTAAATTTTTCATTATCTTATATTTGTTTTTCCTCCCTTATATCACCATTGTCACAACTTTTTAAAGATTCTACCTTAGATACCCTAATTTTAAAATGGTAGAGTAACCTTGCATACAGTAATATATTCTCAAAACAAAGAACGGTGTTATAAAAAGTTAAATACAACTCTACCAAAATGGATTGTTTTGCAGTTGAATCATACAAATAGTAATTTCTCTACCAAGACTCTGTCTACTATTGATGGTTATGTTATTTGTTCAGTAATCATCTAATTTCACTACATTTCCTATTATCCTAGCAAAGCATTTGTTTACTAATTGTTGACAAAACAGAATGAGTGTCTTCCAGTCTTCTCTCTGTTTTGGTTTGTTTGTTTGTTTTCCAAAAAAACTTGTATTTGATAGTCCATACTTACATGTATATTACTATATATAATATATCCAAATTTCAGACTGATGATGGGATTGTGAAAATATGGAGTGAATCAGGAAATCATGGTTATGAGTGGAACAAAGTTGAGTTACACTTGGGGAAGCTGAGGAATTTCGAAGTTATCTTTGAAGGCATTCGTACCAGAGACTTAGGAGGAGGAGCAGCAATAGATGACATCGAGTTCAACAACTGCACTACAGGTAAGTTCAAGAGGGAAGTTTCTAGGGGGATGTTACATGAGATGTAGGAAGTTCTTGTTTGTTTTTAAATTAATTTGTTTTCATTCATAATTTAAATACCTTCTTCTGCTCATACAGAAAATCTTGTATTAATGCAGTGTTCACTAAATTATGGTAGATAAATCCAAGAAATTATTAAGTTTTTGTTTCCTTAATTTATTTGGTTTTGAGTAAGAAGTTTCTTTCTTTAATTCATTGGTAAATTATTGAGTCTCTGATGTTGTATACAACCATTTAATATAAATTATGTTAGATTATATCATGTGTAACCTGTGGTCTTTATGTTTTGTCATAAAGGCTCTTGCCATAAAAATGAGTGGAGACTACAAACAAACCACTGTCAATAGTCTTTTTCCCAGTTCAGTTGAAGTGTTAAAGGTCAACAAAATAAAGAAAACCTTTGACTCACTCGCAGAATACTCACTCTATTTATTTCATGTTTTTGTGGACATAGGCTAAAATAAGAACAGCGTTGACCTTTATTAAAACCACAACAACAAACCAAAAAAAAAAAAACAAGCAAACTCCCTCCCAAAACAAAAACCAAACCAAACAAACCCCCCACAAACAACAACAACAAAAAACCCCAACCAAAACAACCAAAACAAACAAACAAACAAACAAAAAACAAAAAACAAAAAAACCAAAAAAACCCAAAGAAGATAAATACTGAGTGGACCATGGTCTCTGTCAAGAAAGAAAGTGGTCTTTCTATCTGGTAGGAAACTAATACAGTATAAGTGGATTTTTTGAATGAGGTGATCATTACTGATGCCACCTGGAGACACTGTATGAGTTTTGGGTAAGTTGTTTGGGCAAGCTTTAATCTCCTGCCATAGACTGGATGCCCATTATCAACTGAGTACAAAAAGTGAACTTCTGGAGAGCATCTTTCAACCTAGATTCATCTGAAAGAATGATAATTTTGCATTCAGAAATCGTTCTGTTGTATAAATCAAAGAATGGAAACTGGATACAACTTGAGACTTTCTTCAGAACTGAACTTTAATAAAACTGTAAGGCAGATGTACTCTTAAAAGCTCTTCCAAGCACATGAGCATTAGCCATCCTCTTGTGCTTTTTATAACATCACATGCTGTGCATGTGATTATTCTCTAAAGGACAAGGGTAGAGAAGTAAGGATGCCCTGGTAGGAGATGGTAGGTCAATATCCCTCTGTCATCTGGAATAACAAGGTGGATGCTGATCTCTCTTGTAATTTCTTGCCAGCTGTGTTCACATGTATTAGTTCATACCAGTGGGGTCTATTTAAACTACATTTCTGGGATTCTATCCCGTTTTGGTGCTACAACAATTTGGACACTTCATTTCACAGTCAGATTCATGAGACATTCAGCAAATAAAAAAACCCTAGGATTCCTTTTTTTAAGGAAGAAGTAATATCTCTGTTAAGTTCATAAAGATGCTGTCAACATATCTTCATGTAATGTAAAAATATTTCTTCTTACTCTTAATTCCATACATTATATAATAACCTGAAAAAGCACCTTATATAAACACAACTGGAAATATTCCACAGAGTTGTCATTTCAAGAAAGGAAATTGTTTCAACAGGGTTTCGGAAAGTTGTCATATGAAGGATCTTAAATCTCTTAAAATGCTAAGATTGCTGAAATTTACATTGCTTTTAGTCTATGTCCCTGCAAATCTGAATGTTAACAGTGTTTTATAACCACTGTTGCACTAAAATACCTTTGCGGTGAAACAGTTCAGAAAGTAACCTGGTTTATCACTTTATAGCAACTATTTGTTTAACAGCACTGCTTCAACAAGAAGCTCTTTTGGGAAACCAGTTGCACCATATGCTCCCACTACTTTCACTTACTTACAGCTTCAGCATAGTAATATTCCTGTGTATAGGAAAATTATTGTTTATGAAGATGTATGATTCAGAGGAGGCTTTTTTCATCAAAGTTTGAAATGTGCAGTTGAAGCTCAATATGAAAGACAAATTTCTTTGAGATTGATTTGAGAAAGTTGGAGACCCAGAATGCTAATCCTTTACAGAGCTGTCACTTGCATTGTCATTGTTTTGGCACTCTAAGGCACAGTCTTTATACAATCAGGAATCATTCACTTACAGCATCTCTGGTACTGTACGCTAGGTACAGCAGGGTTATCAGTAACGTTTAGGTGTATGTATCCTGTGGGAATGTGTTTATACTTATGCCTTTGCTTATCAGCAGGATCAGAGGCCTGTCATGCGTTTGCTTTTTAACTGTATCTATGTGCATCCGTGCAAATGCATGTCTGTCAAAAAATGAAACACACAAACAAAACCTGAAAAACCAACTCACACCCCACCACAATTTCATAGCCTTTAGTGCCTGTATATGATTTTTTGCCTTCTACTCCACAAGTTGAGACCTGCTTACTGAATTTTCTTGAGACTTTTGGTGTGCTGACCTTCCTGCTGGCATGATGACATGAAGAAGCCTAGTCTGACCTTTCTCATTCTTGTTGTTATTGATTGTTTACCTTTGTAGAACAAAAAAGCAAAATACATTTTGCCAGTTTCTCAAAAAATAACATTTCCCATCTGAGCCAAGCCTGGGGCATTCAGGGTGGAAAAAAGCATGTCATGTACAGATTGCATTTTTTTTACGGCACAGGGTGAACAGTTTTATTGTGTCTATTATAAAAAAGCTAAAAGACAGCAAACACAGACTTACTGTTGCAAACTCAAGAAGAAGAGTAGCATACAAACCAGAAGGGGTTTCTTGTCAACAAAATGACTTGATTTTACAGCACTTACCCATAAACTGTGGTTTTAGGTGTAGAATTGCTGAGCTAGACACATGGCTAGAGTCCTCTAGGGTAACTGAGTCCACGTTTGTATTTTCCACTGGAACTTATAATGCTAAAGTAAAATCTTATACAATATTATGGGTATTCTGGACACATTAATTACATAAACAGTGGAAGACACCATGAGATTAAAACCTAGAATATAATTGAAAATAATTAAAACTTTAATGACAGGTTTTAAATAAACAGAATGGAATTGAAATGAGAAAGGCTTATATTGCATGGGGAAAAAAATGAATACTTAGCTGCTTCCCAGCAGATGGATTACAGTGTTGGAAAAGAATGTTAGAGCAATTATAGAGCTTTCAAATATTTTGGAATAGCCTCCTCCTTACAGACTGTCCTTTTGGAAGCTGTTGAATTCCTGGAACATGGTTTACAGTCAAAACAATAAAATAATTACCTCTTTGCAAAAATTATGTACTCAAGACAGTAAAAAGGGAAGAGAGTGGTAACTTGAGTGATATTCTTAACTTGGGAATATCACATCTATTTGTTGAGATATGGTAATATTCAGTGGTTATAGCAGTATTTAATAAATCTAAATACTTATTTTATTGTACATGTATTTTCCTTCAGCTTGCTTTCATACAGTGTGTTACAGAAATAAACTCTATACAACATAAAAGCGTCTGCATGGAGGTGGATTAATTCTGCAGAATTCTCTGCTCTTCACTTACATAGCTGTGATTTACATAACTTATGTGATGTGAGTATTGTCAACCGAACACAAAAAATATTTTCACTATTTGCTTTTAAAAATTAATTAATCAACAGGTCCTATGTCAGTAGGATTCTACAGATAACTTTATTTATTATGATCTGAGGTTCTGGGGTCCTGTACTTCAAGGCTCATTTCCCTCAGGTCTCACTAATTTTTATGGAAGCAAAGGACAAGAAAAACTGTGGGTTTAATGGAAATATGAGCTCTTGGAAATATTGTCAGAGATAGAAAAAACAAAGATAAAAAGGAGTCTTATGAATTGGTTGTGAGAGAGTAAGATATGTAGTGATAACAAAAATAAATTAAATTCCAAATCTAATAGAATTTATTTTATAGTTTCAATAAAAAATCTGAAAAATACTGGAGTCACATCACACCCAGAGAAAATTTATTCTTAATATTAAATTAATTGAGGTATTGATATTTTTTCATCTTCTTGTACAATAATTTTTTACACATCTTTAGTGACAGACTGTGTGGCTGAAATTGAATTTAATATGGTCATTTCTTATGCTTTTTAATAATTGATTTTGGCCATGCATAAGGTTATTTGCAGGCTAGAAAAAAATGCCTGTACTTTTACCTTAACAAAAAGGTAAAATACCTATGAATGTCATACCAAATAATACCCAATGATAAATTTATTTTTAAGACTTATGACACTTCATGATAACATCTAAAAAATCTGTCAGAAATAAGCTGTGGTCTGGTATCCTTAAGAAGCACTTCAAGCATTATTGATTTGCTTTTCCAGCTGATGGCCCACTGTCATATAATAGTGAATCAAAAGCACAACTTGTTAGACATGCTGTTGCCAGTAGTCTGAATTTCATACATTTGTAATTTTGAAGAAAAGGAATCTTATATTTCAGATACACAACAGCGAGTATAAACATGGACATATACATTACTCAGCCATATCACACACACTGATTTTGGCATCCCAGGGCACCACCTGGAAAACCAAAAGTGAAAGATAAACAAAAATAAGAGAATCATAACGCTAAATTAAAATTCAACTGAAATTTCTAGAACTTTTGGTTATTTAGTTAATAGATATAATTTTTTCATAGTCTGGGAACTTGGTGCCATACAAGTCCAGGAATAAGAAAAAGTGATCTTTGTGGTTGACTGTGGGCTGATAGACTCTACAAGCTTTTCTTCCAAGGTTTAGGGTAAATAAGATAGTGTCATTACAATTATATCTAGTTTTTTTAAAAGAAAGCATAGTAAAAAGGCCATGATCTATTAATAGGAACTTGATTTACCAAATTGAGCTGAACAGAAATTTTGTTTAAAATATAGAGAAAAGCTTGCTTTGCTTGGCAGTAAACATTTTCTTTCCCTTTCTCCTCCTATATTTGTATTTCTCCTCACCTATTGTTTATGGCAAAGACCATAGGTGAAG